TAAAACAAGCAAACCGAAAGCAAAAATCTCTTTCCTATAGCTTATCCTGCCGTGGAACCCCCTTTTTAACAGGTATTATCTCACTAGAATTAGCATATATACAACAAACGACCACAAATGACCAAAATTATTTGGTACCTGTAAGGCAAAAATGTCTTCAGATGACACAGACACCCTACATTCGAAACCACTTTATGCAGCCCGCTTCATACTTTCCCTTCATTTTGAGTTCATTAGTCCGATTTCCTCTTTTAATTTCTAAAGCCTTACATCTGTCAACAAAGAGTTATTTCTAAAATGAAAGAAATGACTATACCACTAGACAAATCTGCTGAGGACTACAACCAGGAGAAATACTCCGTTTTTCAAGAATAAGATTGTATTTCAAATTGAGTCACTCTCTTCCTGTGACATGATGTATTTCGGCTGTGCAAAAAGGACCTAACCCACCGGGGAAGCCACCAAACAGACTGACCCAAAACTTCACCTTTGTTTTGCTTTTAATGGTTTTAACCTTTAAAGCTCAGGTAAGAAAAGCATGCAGAGCAGAATTCCGTTAACCGAGTCACTTCTGAGAAATTCCTTCTGTAATTTTGACGGGCTGCTCTGCTCTACCTATTTGGTTTTTTTTGCTTTTAATGGTTTTAACCTTTAAAGCTCAGGTAAGAAAAGCATGCAGAGCAGAATTCCGTTAACCGAGTCACTTCTGAGAAATTCCTTCTGTAATTTTGACGGGCTGCTCTGCTCTACCTATTTGGTTACTCAGCAAATGACCCGTTTCTATCTTGAGCTGACAGCTGTCACTTAATGTCATTAAGCAGTCAGCAGCAAATTGGGCTGCTTTGTGCCGACCAGCAAACAAGTGCACAAGTGCCCTGTTTAAGAGGCTGCATACCACGCCTTTCGAGTTAGAGGCAATAGTTCATTTTTAATAATCTGCTTCACTAGAATACGAATTCTTACCAATTAAAAAAGTAACATCAGTGACACCTAACTGAACTGGTAACCCATATCGCTGATTTCACCTAGTGGCATCAGCGGTTTTCAATACAAAACTGGAATTAAAACAGCACTATTGCCTCCGAAGCAAAGGCGGCTCGCTCCTTTGCTTCCCCTGAGCATCACCTGCTCCCCGCTGCATGAGCGCTTTCCTCCCAAACACGGTTTTTAGTGCTGCTTCATTAAGCCTCACGAGATAATCAGCGCCATGAGGGAAAGCCGTATCTTCACCCAGGCATGCTCTTCTCTTACCCCAGCGTAGTAACGCTGAAGACGGGAAAACGCGGTCCAGAGGAACCGAGTTCGCAGCACAACGCACCGCCCTCGGCACCCCCTCTCCCCACAGCTCGCAGGGGTTGAGTG